CTCAAGGTATCTGCTACAGTATTAGCTTTTTCGGGATGATATAAAATTTGCAGATCATAGTCTTTGATCAGTTCCAGCCATCTTCTCTGTCTCATGTTCAGTTTTTTTTTGGGTAAAAAAGTATTTCAAACTTTTGTGATCGGTGTATACTTCACAAGTCACACCATACAGATAATGTCGTCAAATTTTCAAGGCAAACACCACAACTGCTAGTTCAAGGTCATGTGTCGGATAATTCTTTTCATGTGGTTGGAGTTGCCGAGAAACATAAGCAATCACCTAACCATTTTACATTAATACACAATCCAAACCTTTATAGGATGCATCGCTGTAAATCTGAAACCTATCAGTTCCATTAGGCAAAGTCAAAATCGGTGTGGTTACCAATCTGGTCTTCAACTCTTGTAAGGCAGATTCTCTTTGATCGTTCCAATCAAATAAGATATTTTTCTGGGTTAACTGAGTCAATGGCATAGCAAGTTTTGAAAAGTCTTTCATAAGCCTTCTGTAATATCCTGCAAGTCCTAGAAAATTTCTAACTTCTAACACATTTGTCGGGTTGGGCCAGTCCACAATAGCTTCAATTTTCTACGGATCCACTAATATGCCATCCTTGTCGATCACATGTCCCAGAAATGCTACGCTGTCAAGCCAAAACTCGCACTTGGAAAATTTTGCATATAACTTCTTTTCTCTCAAAATGTGTAAGGTAGTTTTCAGATGATTCTCATGTTCTTCCTTGCTTTTAGAATAGATTAGTAGATCATCAATGAATACAACAATAAACTCACCAAGAAATTGTTTGAACACCTTATTCATCAAGTCCATGAAAACTGCAGGTGCATTTGTTACCCCAAATGGCATGACTAAAAATTTATAATGTCCATATCTGGTTCAAAAAGCAATTTTCTCCAGATCTTCTGCCTTGACCTTCAATTGGTGGTACCCATGTAACGACCCCCAAAATGCATATCAGAAATTACCTTTATTTAATTATGGGATAATGTGCTTTAATTTAACGATATCTGTTTGAATTAAAACATTATCTGTTGAGTTACGACTTCGAAACTGAAATTGATGACCTTCATGGGTTCAGAAATCGAAAATGAGTATATGGATATGCTAATGGGAATTTTTAGAGCTATTTGGGAAAGTTAATTAGAAATTTATTTCGTTTGATTTGTTAAGGTGTGTTTGGGTGGTTAACTTTGCATTGCGAATTAAAGGCCTTAGAAGCTTCAGAAACCAGAACGGAGTACATAGTTATGATCATCATAATTTTTAGAGTCACTTGGAAAGTTTAATTGAAATTTAATTTCGTACGATTCGTAAGGGTGTATTTGGCTCTCCCTATTGTGATAAGCTTATGTATGTAATATATATGTGTGTGTGTGTGTGTGTGTGTGTATGATATGAGTGAACTCATCACTTTGAGCCAAAATATCTAAGGGAGAGGAAGAGAACCGTGACTGAGAAGGAGAGAGAAAGCTTCTCTAAGAGAGAGCTATTAACATTCATGGGGGTTTGAAGATAAATTGAGGAGATTGAAGAGAGAGGAAAAAGACCAACCATAGAAGCTTGAGAAATTGAAGAGAGCTAAGAGAAAGGAAAAGATTGAACCAAGGTATGGAAGCCTATCTTGAATCCTTTTGATTAATGCATCAATTTCATGAAATCATAATGATATTGGAAGATTTGAAACCCATTTGGGTTAGGGTTTTATGTATGTATTTAATTGAGCTCAATTTAAGAAATTAGAACTTGGGTCCTATGGTTTTGTTTATAATTGGAGCTCAACCTTATGAATACCATATGAAATGAACTCTAGATTGTCCACAGAATAAGATTATGCAAGGATCAAGTGTGTTTGTGGGTTGTGTTTTGGGAACCTTCAAGATTATGAAAGATAAAGCATTGATCTTGAACTTTAGGTAAAGATTGATTTGTTTGAAATGAAACTACTCTTGAATGATGTTAGTTTATCATGTGGTAGGGTAATTTTACATGTTTTTGGGTGATTAGGGTTGAAACCAAGCTTAGAAAATGAAAAAAACAAGTGTTAGAGCAAACAAGAATTTCGGACAGCAGAATTGGCCCAGAGTTGCACGTGCGACGGGGCTTCCCGCATGTGTGGCAATCCATTCCAGCACCCAAAAATGATTCTGAAATAAAAGCACCTTGTCCCGCACGTGCGGCTCAATTCCCGTACGTGCGGCCCTGTTTCCCGCAAGTGCGGAACAGTCCTATTCAGCCAACTTCAAATAAGCATATCTCTTGCATTCGGGCTCTGTTCTAAGTGGTTCTTGAGCCTAAATTCAAGCCCCGGGAGTTTAGTTTCCAATGGTGGTAGTCTCACTCCGAAATTCTTAGTACACAAATAGATATGCCCAAATTAGTAAAGATTGTTCATTTTCAGTCTATCGGTTTCATGCTAATTCTTCATCTAACTTAGTTTCCTTTCGTTTCCTCCTATTTTTCTAGACACAGAGTATGACCTATTGAGGAATAATGAGTTTAGAACCCATATAAATAATTGATTAAAGAGAAAAGAAAGTTATCAGTTATATTCATATATTGTGCTATGTAATTGTGATTGTAGGTCACTTGGAGACAGAGACCGCTGCTCACCTAAACCACTGTGATTAATAATATTGTAACGACATGTTCTTTTATATTTACTCTAATATGTAAATGTTGCGATGTTATGGAATTATGTTTTATGCGAATGAATGAGTAATAAGACCTATGATATGGAATACGGATATGAAATGTGAATTATTTATAATATGATATATGATTGGGCCCAAGGCTATTTTATGCGAATAAATGAGTTATAAGACCTATGATATGGAATACGGATATGAAATGTGAATTATTTATAATATGATATATGATTGGGCGCAAGGCCATTTTGATATATGATTGGGCCCGAGGCCGTTTTGATATATGATTGGGCCCAAGGCCGTTTTGTTATATAGTGGGCCTAAGACCGTTTTGCAAATATGACTATGATTAATGTTGTAAATGGTGTACAGGCCGTATTGTAAATATGATTATGGTTAATGCTGTGAATTGTGTAAATGTGGAAGAGTATTGTGTTATGCTTCTTTTGAATCTAGATTATTTACTTGATTCATTTCACTTTATTATTACTCATTGAGCTTCGCTCACTCCGTATTTCATCTGTATGTAGGTGATTAATCCGGAGACCATCCTTAGGTCAACCTCAGAAGTTTCTTTGTGAACCTGCTAAGTCAAGCCACCTAAGATGTGCCTCCGTGTTGAGGCTTTAACCTTGCATTGTTAGTATTTTGTATTTACTTAAGTTTATGTATATTAGTGTGTTTACATTGTTTTAATTATTTCAGTTATCATGTATGCACAAGCTCAATGGACATTTCTATTTGATTTGCTTCCGCTTTAAGCCCTATGTCATTTAAATATTTTGAAATTTTGTCTTTAAGGCCTAAGTATAGGTTGGTCATGGCCTAAACTTTTAGGGGCAGGTTTTGGTCGTGACAACCCAGATTTAAGGTCAATTTTAGAAAATACTTGGGCTCCCTGTTGTTGGTCAAACAAGTCATCTATTCGGGGTAGTGGGTATTTGTTCTTCACGGTTACTTTATTCAATTCACGGAAGTCTATACATAACCTCAAAGACCCATCCTTCTTTTTCACAAATAAGACTGGAGCACCCCAAGGTGATATGCTTGGACGGATAAATTTCTTGTCTAAGAGTTCCTGGAGTTGAACTTTCAACTCTTTGAGTTCCGAAGTTGACATTCTATAAGAGGTCTTGGAGATAGGTTGTGTTCCAGGTACTACATCAACTGTAAACTCAATCTCCTTATCAATCAAGTCCCCGGGCAGGTCATTAGGAAACACATCAGGAAAGTCACAAACTATAGGAATAGTCTCCACACTGGTACCATTCGAAGATGCAGTCATTACACAGCACAAGTAACCCCGACAACCTTTTCTCAACAATTTCCTAGCTTTCATAATTGAAATCAAGTATGGTGGAGGAACCACCCCATTTCCAGTAAAAACAATTTCAGGCACATCAGGTGGTCTAAGCACAACAGATTTACTTGCACAGTCAATGGTGGCACAGTATTTAGTCAGCCAATCCATACCCAGAATACAATCAAAGTGATCAATGCTCAAGGGCAATAAATCAACATACAATGCCATTTCACCAATTACAATATCACATGCTGGATAAACATAAGCACACATCATAGAACCCCCAGTCTGTGTAGACACAGATAATAAATAATTCATAGGTTCTAACAGTCTAGTTACTTTCTGAGAAAAGCATGCAATACAAATAAATGTGTAGAACCAGAATCAATCGGCACATAAGCATTCTGAGCATAAATATAAATTGTACCTGACACCACATATTCGGTGTTCTGTACATCACCAGGGACCAAAGCAAATACCCTTCATTGTCTTAGTGTTTCATTCCCAGTGTTGCCCCTGGCATTAGTTCTTGTATTGGTTCTTGCTACGGGAACAGATCTGGCTGAACTTGTTGCTGGATGGTTTGCATTATCGAACCTCATTGGGCAATCTCTAAGTATGTAGTCGGTCTTGCCACACCGGAAGCATGCACCCGACGCATGATGGCACACGCTTGTATGCTTTCTTCCGCATTCAGTACAGGTTGGCTTAGACCCACTACTTTGGCTCGAACTACTAGAAGTTCCAGTATTTTGCTTTTTGTTCACAAAGAATGAACGGCCCTTCCAAAAATTGGATCTGGATCTTTTGCTTCGTCATTCAGTTGTTGGTGTCTTAGCTTGGTTTTTTGCCGCCAAAATGGCCTCTGTCATTGATGCCCTGTTGAGCACATTCACATACGTAGGTAGGTTGAGGAATCCTACCCGATCTAATATCTCCAAATCCACACTACTTTCAAATTTCCGTGCTTTCTTGTAGTCAGTATCCACCATATGTGGAGCAAACGAAGCCAATTCAGTAAACTTGGTTCATACTCAGCTACTAACATTTGCCTTGTTTGAGTTCTTGAAATTCAGATACTTTTTGATCTCTGAAGCATTGGGGAAAATACTCTCATAAAAGATCTCATGGAATTGAGCCCACGTCATGTTTTCATTGGCATTCCGAATCAGTAACCACCACCTTTGGGCTTTATCTTTTAATGTATAAGTGGCCAAGAGAACTTTTTGCGTTTCAAAGTAAGGAAATACTTTGAACAGTTTTTCCATTTCCAGTAGCCATGTTTCTACCTTCGACAGTTCAATACCACCCACGAAAGTTGGTGGTTTCATCTTCATGAACTTCTGAGTCAGGTTGATTATATCATCGTTGTCTGGCTCATGTTGCACTGGTAGAGGTGGGGGAGGCATGGGTTGCTGCCTCTGTTGTTGTGTCATAGCTTTGGTCAATGCTGCAAGCATCTGTTTCATTCGGCTCATGCGAGTCTCTGAGGATTCACTCGTATCATTACTTCTTGCGTTCTCTATAGTGCTATAGGGAACAGGTAAAAATAAATGGAGGAATAATCTTATTCAGTTCTTTCAAGTTCATTTATTCAGGTTCAACTTCACTTTTTATGTTTATAGAGATTATCACACACTCACACATGCAGATAAAATGTCCCTAACTTCTTACTAGGACACCCAAAGCTCATATGGATTCATGTGTGCGGTAGAACACGTGCTCTGATACCATTATGTCACGACCCAAACCTGCCCCTATAGGTTTAGCGTCGTAACCGGCCAATAATTCTTGGATTACCAAAGGCCTCTTAACAGGATAGCATACAGTTAGGGGTTGTGGAAACAAATACATAAATTATACATTGTCCATTGAGCTGTGAAAACGTACATGGGACAGAAAATTTTAAATCTTAAAACTAAAATGCAATATTTATATGCCACTCCATGTACATACAACAGAAAAACCTTTTTGTAAGTCAAAAGAAATTAAGTCTTATACATCCACAAAAACACAGCCTTTAAACATGACTTGACCAGGAACCTCCTCGGGAGGTACAAAGGCTGGTTGACCAAAAACTGAGTGGCCAGGTCCTCAACTTTGAACCTGGTCACGTGCCTGATCACCTACATATATAAAATAAATAGTGAGCGGGAGCCCAATGAATAATAACAAAGTAAAGGTTTAAATGAATGATGTCCCGTAATTAAGTCCGTGCGTAGAACCGATTCATATTCGTGATCTCATTCAATGCATATATATATAGTTCTGGAATCATGCTTGATCATTCATAGTTCATCTGTTAGCGCTAACAGATCATACACAGAACATCATAGATCATACTTGTTAGTTCTATAGAGGAACCTCCGACCGGGTATGGATAACTTGCTAGTTCCATAAAGGAACCTCCGGACTGGGTATGGATAACTTGCCAGTTCCATAAAGGAACCTCTAGCCGAGTACAGATAATGTGCCAGTTCCATTAAGGAACCTCCGGTCCGGGTATAGATAACATACTTGAATCATAACATTAATGTCATATATATATATATATATATATCAGAGATAAGCAATCATTCATAGTGCATAAACATAGCATTCATAGGACAAACCTTATTCCATATATAGAAAATAATTTAGCTTGAACATAGTTTTACTAAGTCATTACTCATAGATAACCGTTGGCTCCAAATAGACGAGTAGAGTAGGCAATTCACATAACTTGAGGTGCGTGACCTACATAACATGACAGATACATATATTAAAACACACGCTCAGATTATACGTAACTTATTTCATTTGTCCTTAGTGTGTTTCTAACCCTTATCCTCATTATAGTGTTTTAACCTTGGCTTAGGAATTCCTAGGATAGAATGATGATGCTAAAATGTATTTGAAAACATTTTCCAAAACTTGCTAAAAACAGGGTCCACGCTCGAGGGTGGCTTTCCTTGCCCAAGCGGACATGCAAAATGTGAGGGTCCGCTCGAGTGTAACTTCCATCGCTCGAGCGGTCTGTAAACTTTGAAAAAGTACTGGTTACTTGATTTTCTCGCTCGGCGGACGCTGATCCCCGCTCGAGCCTGAGACTCAGACCTTTGCTCGAGCGTGACTTTCGTCGCTCCAGCGATCTACAAAAACACATGAACTTCTGGGAGCATGCATTTCATGCTCGAGCGGACTTCTCGTCGCTCGAGCGAAAGTGCAAGATTACAGGGTCGTCACTCGAGCGTAGAATCCGACGCTCGAGCGGAAGTGCAAAATCAGGAATTTCCAGGTTGCACTCCCCAACTCCAAGCTCGAATTCTACACCCTAAAACTCATATTCTTGGGGCAAAATTCTGGAGAACATCTAGGAACTAGTAAAATATCATGGTTTGAAGATCATTTCATGAAACCAAGGCGCAAAAGTATGTCAAACATACAACAATTCAACTTGAAATGTAAAAACATAGTATGAACATGACATACATGTGTTCACTTGAGTTCATGGCTTTTAAAACATGATCAAATGTGATCCATTTATGAGAAATGTTATGAATTCTTCAACTTATGCTAGAATTACAACATGCATAGGAAAAATCTTTGAAAACAACTTCAAAATGCTATAAATATGCATGCATGTATGGAATGACTTGTCTTTCTTCAATTCTAGCTCAATCCTTACATGAATTCATCTAATTCACTTGTTTTCATACATTATTCAACTACATTACAAGGCCAAAGACTAAAGCTCTTACCTAGAGTCTAAGTTGCACAAGTGAGGAAGCTTCAATTCCCAAATTCTTTGCAAATCTCCAATAATTCCTAGCAATTCTCCCATATCCCAACTTTTGATCCCAATTTTCTTCTATCTCACTCTCTCTCCCACATTTTTTTTTTTTTTTGCTTATGTGTGTGTGAGCTCAAATGTATTGAAATGAAGAAAAGAAATGGTGAAGGCATATAAGAAGCCTTATATAGGCCCACTTAATGATAATTAATTAAGGTTAATTAAGTGGGCATTAATTTAATCGTTTCAAATCAAATTTTGATTAAACCTACCATAATGTTCTAAAAATTTCAAATAGCATATAAATCAAGTCAATTTTTGAATCGGATACTGATAAGGCCTTTAATTTGCAAACCGAATAAAAGCATGAACAAATCTTTCTACGTTAAACAGATATAAACACAAAATAATGCAATGCACATGTAATTAACTCAGGATTTTTTCTTAATTACTTGTTAGGCATACTTAAGTATGAATTATCACTAATCATGGGTTGAGATTGTTACAGTTATAGCCATTTAGTTATTCCAATCCCTTAGGAGTAGAGAATCAATTGTAAGGGAACAACCAAAGCATTGTACTGATTTCTGGGCCAATTTATGGCTACATGTATTTATTCTTTAAGAAATGAAAACATTTTATTATCTATCTGAGTGTCTCATGCTCTCTCATTATTTTATTTAGCAGTCTCTACACTCTTTGTGTCTCTCACACAGTTGGATAATAAGGTTTCAGGTACCGGCCATTAATTTTCTTGGGATGCACATAACCATTTAGGTTCCTTAGATGGTAGGCTTCTCCAGGTAAGACTTTATGAACCTGATGTGGTCCTTTCCAATTAGGTGAGCATTTGCCAAATTTATGGCTCTTAATGCCTATTAGAAGTATTGTCTTTCACACCAAGTCACCTTCATCAAAGCTGATGTGCTTGACTTTCTTGTTATAACTTATGGCTGCCTTTTTCTTTTGGAAAAGGATATTGTTTAATGCCAAGATTCTAACCTCATCCACATGTTCTATTTTCAAGAACATGCTTTGATGATATTGCTCATAAGTTAATTGGTCTTGGCCTTTCACTTTTAAGGACTCAATGTTAACTTCCACAGGCAAAATTGCATTATGCCTATATACTAAGGCATAAGGAGTAACTCCTGTACTTGGCCTTGGAGAAGTCCTATAAGCCATAATACATCTAACAACAAGTTATGCCAATCCCTAGGATTGTCTTCCACAACTCTTTGTATTCTTTTTTTCAAAGACTTGTTGGATGATTCTGCCTGACCATTTGCTTGTGCATAATAAGGGGTGGAAATAATAAGGCTAATTCCAAATTCTGTTGTGAAAGATTTTACCATATTTCTATCAAATACAGTTCCATTATCTATAGTTATGGTCTGTGGGATGCCAAATCTGTGAATCAGATCTTTAATAAATCCAATAACTTCAGTTTGATCCATAGTCTTATATTGTTTGAGTTTTAACCCACTTAGTGAAGTAATCTGTGGCCATTAGGATGAAACAATGGTGCTTCGAGGAGGGTGGATGTATTGTTATCATATCCATAGCCCAACCTCCAAATGACCAAGGCTTCACAATTGCATGCAAATCAGTTATTGGCACATGTCTTATTATGCCGTGTTTTTGGCATGCTTAACAACCTCTAGCATACTCTATACAATCTTTAAGGATGGTTGGATAATAATAGAAATGCCTTTGAAGTAACCATCTCATCTTCACACTAAACTGATGAGCACCACAAATGCCTTCATGTACTTCAGCCATAGCCGTCAATGCCTCATTTGGCCCTAAATATTCCAATAATAACCCATCTGCTCCCCTTTTGTACAGAGCATTACCATACACTATATACTGCATGGACTGTAATTTAATCTTTCTACTGGCCTTCGAAGATGGGCCAGTCAAGTATTGCATGATTGGATATCTCTAATCTTGATCTTGTAAGTCATTATGATTGACTTCCAATATAATGCCCTTTTTAACTAAAGGTGGTATTAATTTTTGATACGTTGCTTGACTTATGTTCAATTGAGTGTCATCCATTCTTTTGAAATTCGAAGCTTTCTAAGCTACATCCTTTGCTTTGCTATTCATAAACCTTGGGATACAAGTGACATTTGCTATCTGAAATTAAAAAAGCAAATGTAATGCAACAATATAATATGGCAACATGTTTGCACTTTAACATTTGAAAATTCTTTTTTTTGGTTGACTACCAATTGAGAATCTACAAATATGTTAACTGCATAAACTTGTAATCCAATAAGTATTTCAAGTCCCATTATTAAAGCTGCATATTCAACTTGGTTATTGGAACAAGTAATTTCATCAACTCTGAAACCATGTATGGTTGCTACCCTCTGTGGTGACTTAATTACAACACCAATTCCAATCAGACCACTGGCCTTTGATCCATCGAACCACATTTGCCAAGGTTCAACATTGATCATGCCAAGATCCATTATCTCTTGGCTTTCTGTTTGACATGGATGATTTGCCAAAAAGTTAGCCAAGACTTACTATTTTACTGCCTTTTGGGGGACATATTCTAGATGAAACTTTGAAAGAGCCAACATCCATTTGCCAATTCTTCCTCCCAGCATAAGTCTAAATAACAGGTATTTAACCAAGTCTATGGTTGCACTAATCAAGACGACAGTAGGTAAAAGATAATATCTTAATTTCATT